ATTTGGAATTTATTATAGGTACCTATTAGGTATAGGTCAATTTTTTTTAATACCATAGATAGATACCTATATACCTAGACTGACATACCGACATACCGTCTCCGCTCAGAATCTTTTTTCTTATACAATGATATTATATCATTGAATTCAAATTTAATACCATCCATTATACAGTGACCCACTTTTAACCTACTGTATAGCAGAGCACCTTTTTTAAATTTAAATTAAGTTATTTTTGAATCCAAGAGCATCAAAGCTTTTACCAAAATTTACTTGTAATACGTAATACTTATTAAACACCACGTAAGTAAATGAAAAATAACATACATTTATATATTATATATAATAATGTGTGTGTATAAATCACTAATATTAATAATAATATTATAATATAATCATAATAAATATTCGATGGACAGCGAAGACATGCGATCGTATTATATTCACATATGTTTCGGGGGTAAAAGTAAACGCTATATACATATTATATTATAGGTGAATATAATAATATGTATTATTATTAACGTCGACATAATACAATAACTATATAATATTTATATATATAAAATAATACCTGCTGCAGGTAATGCATACCTATATAATACTCGTTCGCCGCTCGAAAAATATTCGTTTATACATTTTTATTTTTATTCGGTTTTTTTTTCATCCCCGTGAATGGAGTAATAAAATAACATTTATACTGGAGGGTTGTGTGCTTCGGGCGGCGTGAGAATGCGCATATATACATAATATACACGCGAGACTATATATATGCATATTATATATTATGTATAGTGTATATATATATTATATATTATTATATTATAGGTACGTGTATACCTCTTCGCGCGCCAGCTATACGGTATAATCGCGAGTTATTATTGTGACGAGGGATCTTTGAGAGTAATATTTTAATATTCGTTTATAATAATACGTATATATACATATTATATACGCATATCATATATTGTTCTGTTGGCTCTTTAACGCGCGCGGCGGCGTCCAATACAATAACAATGACATCGATGATTTATTTGAAGAAATACGGTTGATTTTGATCCCTCGTCGTCGTGACGGGTGTTACATCCGTCGTATAAAAATATTGTAAATTAAATTTAAAAAAAAATACAAAACCCAGTATTCAATTATTTTGTTGTTTCGGCTGGTAATAAGAGATGACGGATTTGAAGATACGGTTCATGGTCCATAAAGTGTACCTATACATTGTGTATATAATGTATATAATATAATATTTTATATTATATTAATTATTTATACATTTTGCAATGGCTATTAGAATCTTCTGATGAATTAATATTATAGTAATCACAAATCAAGAATATATTGTAACCATTTACTGTAAACCATATTTAAACATTTTTCGTTATCATTGTTAATCTATCTCTATGTATATAATTATATATCAAATAGATATATATTCCTATCAAATAGATGTATTATACAATGCAATTTTGAACTCCCAGGCAGCCACACGATTTTCCTCAGTGTTCATATATAATCATATTATTTTTAAGAAACTAAATAAAAATAAACACAGGAACGCGTATATGTAATTTTATATCCAATGATTGCGCCCATTAATTTAGAGGCACACGCTAAAACCTATACGTTCTGCACGATTCCTACTTATCTAAAACACGTGTAAAAAAACAACAGAGTGACTGTAGGTAAAAATAATAGGTATATGTCGGGTATATGCGACGTACACACGCTTTGACCAAATATATAATGTGCAATAAGCAGTCGATAATTATCTAGCAACAGTTGCGGTTTTATTTCAAGAATTGAATTTTTTTACATAAAACTTAATAATCTAATATGGTATAATAGCGGAAACGCAAGCGGACCAATCATATACATAATAATAACCGCAGAGCATTGTTTTCGGTGTCTCTTTTTTATTTTTTTACCGTAGGTCACGTGAACGCGGAGACCTCACAGGGAGCAAAACGCATCCGTATCGATGCACCGGCGTGTACCTGCATCAATGCATAACATATTATACACACACCCACACATATATGATATATGTATATATATAATATATATATACGACCATATCGCCAAATCGTTTGTCGTTTGTCTTTCTACCGCGTCCCTACAAGGCTACACTTTGGAAATATAAATTATTCAGTTTCGATTCAGATAACTGTATTACAATATTGGAACTCGATACTAGAACGATCGGGGTTCAGGTGTTCGGTTAAAAATAAAAGTATACCGCTATAGCTTGGTTTATTAACCACGAATATGCATAATATCTTATAAACGGTAAACCCTGCAGTGCGATTATAAATTACCATAATTTTAGAAAATATAATACACATTTTTGGTTATGGATAATTTCTAGAAACATGTATAGGCACCATAAAACGGGCACCTAAAAAACGGTCAACCCCATGATGATCCGATCAGCCAAATTTTTATTATGGATTAAATTAATTCTGTACACATAGCAAATTGGCACTGGCAATAAAACTTCTATCAATGTAATACCATTTTTGGTCATTCCAATAATTTGATTGGTACTTGGTAGGTACTTAATCGTAAAACGATAGCAATCGTAACCACGAATAAAAAAAATAACCTCTAACCAATATAAAAAATATTTTTCTTAAGAACTCATAAACACAATAAATACATAATATTTTTTGGTAGGTCCATAAATAATATCATATTCTTTACATTTTAATTTATATAATTTACAATTCAATTTTATACTTACATATAACCTATTTATTACAAATAAAATACAATAATTTTTGAAAGTGTCGAAAGTTCCGGGTACTTTTTATGTTTCCATTTGGATCCAGAAAAAAAATATATAAATTATAATGTAGCCTTTTTTCATAACATTGTTAAAAACGTAATTTTTGTTTTGTTTTTCTAGATACAAATGGAAACAAAATAAGTACCCAGAACTTTGGACACTTTTAAAAATTTTATTTCCTTTGTAATAAATTATTATTGTACATTGTTATAGTAATTACAATTACAGTATAACTAAGTATAGTATAGTACCTAGTATAGTACCTAGTACCTAGCCCTACTCATATAAATTTATTCAAGAATTGTTATATAACAAAGTTTTTTCTGATTTTCAGAAATGGTTCAAGTGCATCTGAACCAATAATTACTGAACCTGAGTCACTAGTGAGTATATCTCGAGTTGTACCCTTAAATATACAATACACATACTCATTGAGTCCTTTAAAACGACGACACTGCAGGGACTATTTTTCATATTTTGCTAATATATTTAATCATTCAAGCAACAATTTCGTGTGATCAACAAATTGTTTTGTTAAATTATGTATCACTACAGAGTCAGAATTGTATACCTACAAGACAGCTGTTTATTTACCACGTCGTAGAATGGCTTACCCCTTAAAACTTGACCACTACGCCACTTATTGTATTGATTGTTTTTTGTAAACACTTATGTATACTATGTACATTGTACATAGTTAAAATATACAGTTTATTGCATAATTATTATACACTAGGATTGTAATCGTCAGAGACAAAGGGATATCATAAATATCAACTTTTCTTATCATAACAAAATTCAAAAAAGTTCAAAATTCCTACGCATACTAATGTATACTAATGATTTAATATCATTTTTTCTCTTATTTTATACAAGTTAATTAATACACATTAATAATTAGTTAATAGTTTCTATAAATAAACTATCGATAACACATTGTTGTTATTACCTATACTATGGTTATTACACAGTTATTTATACTAATTATCTATTTATCTATACTAGTATTGCTAGTATACTACTCTGTACTAGGTACCTATATGAATATAACCAAAAATTGAAACTCAAAAAGAAAAAAATAATTTAAAATTTAAAAAGTTTTAAAATATACAACTATCTAAAATCAATACCTAAAGTTCTATCTAATATTTATTACCTACTACTTATTAAAAATAATTTTTTTGTTTATCAAATAGGTAGCTATTTAATAAAATTAGAGATTCTGTCAGGAAATCGTTCCCTTATGATAATATCAATTCAGTAATTAAATAAGGTAACGAGTAGGTAATTTAACTAAATAAAAAGTACTTAAATTATGAAATATGAATAAATTACTTACGATAAAATGTAATTACGATCATCGTTAAATCATTAAAATAAAATTTGAACTTAGGCACGTAAAAAGTAATTTCTATTTAAAGTATTCACTAAAACTTAATTTAAAAATAATTGATAAATAAGTACGTTTGAATTTGAATGATATTTTAAGTATTATAATTATAAGTTAATGAGTTAAAAATGTTATAGTGGACTTCAACATTCAAAAGAGCCAAGAAACAAGGTGTTTTTTTATGAATAGCACAGGCCACAGACATATAATTAATATATAATCATAGATAATAAATACATGGATAGGACGCCTCAAATTCATCTTTATTATCTATATACATATATAATACAAGTTGTATCCATATATTTATAATATCTGTGATGAATATTGAATAGTGAATAACATAAAAACAACAGTACTATTCGAGATCAACGCCATCTAACGATTATTGCGTTGTTTTAGTATGATTATTATTATTATTGTCACAGATATTATTATCTTTAACACCTTGTACCGTGGTAATATTTTAAACCGTGCTTTGACCATTTGCAACACTGATAAAGTGATAAATGATAATCCCATTATCATTATGAAATTATCAATCAATGCCAGTTTAAGGTTACGTATTAAAATCAAAATATCTAATATTCATTCAAATTTCAAAAGCAGGAGAGTTTTAGTTTTAACTTGGAAAGTTTTCATTGAAATAGTTAATAATATAGTTTTTAATAAAATTAAAATTGACTATTGTAGTGGTGTACTGGTGTGCCAAAAAAGAACAGTATGAATTTTCTGATCTGTGAAATAAATCATGTATTGTATATTTTACTTAATTGTTTTTCTTCCTATTATAGTCCACAATTATTTGAACTACCTATTATGGGAGTAGCTGGATCTCATTTTACTAAGCGTATCCGAAGGTTTAACGTAATCGAACGGACAGAACGAGTAATAAACAAAGATAAACCTATACCAGCGCCATTGCACAAAGCGGACGCTGAGCGGCTGAAACAACTCCTTAAAGGTAATTATTGTAATCTAATATTATGTGTAAGCATGGTTGATATTATTTTTGAGATAATTTCAGATGATCCACAGCTAAAAGAAGAGCTTGTGAATAAAAATTCAACTCTTGGAAAGAATTTACACAGTGTTTACGTTACATCCAAAGGTGATGTAAGTAAATACATATTGTATATTATTGATCTTATTAATTTTCAATACTAATTACTAGGGTTCGAATTTGAAAACAATATAATCAATAAAAAAAGCATTTAAAATGTAAAAAAGGCATTTAATTTATATAAAAAAGCAATTCATAAATTGTCATAAATATACTACAAAATAACGTCGATTCGCATTGAATATTTTTGTTGCAATATTTTGATAAAAAAGATCTAAAAACGTCATTATACAAATTTATTCATAGGGATATTTGCCGCAACTAACGCGGTATACAAATCGTAATTGAAATCTGACTTAATGGCATTTTTATTATTAAAAGGCTGAATTTTTTTACTATTTTCAATTTTTGCTAACACATTTTTGTGTTTATCTCTTCCGATATGTTGCTGAATATGGAATTTTTTATCACTTAACACTTTGACGTCACAAATTTTACAATATAAAATTAATCCATCGGTTGAAAAAATATTTTCACCGAATTCTTAAACATACTTTTTCAACTTAGAATTGTGATTTTGTTTAACTTTTGGCATAATTAAAAATAAACAGAATGAAATAAACGCTTGCAAAATTATTGAACGACAATTATAATCAACTGAAAATTAAACACAAAAAAGACATTTATAAGTAAAAAGGCACAAAAATGCATCCATCGTCCAAGAAATTATATGAAACACATTTTTGTATAAAAATTATTCTATGATGATTAATAAAAGAAAGGCATTTGCCTTCAAATCAGAACCCTATTAATTACCCAGATAAATGTCTAATATGATACATTTTATTTTATAGTTACCTAATATATACCCCCAATCAAAAACCAAGTTACCACAAAATCGAGTTCAAGAATTTAATACTGCGTTCACGTTTCAAGAACCAGAAAATGTTCCTGCAGGACGGTATACACTTACCCAAATTACTGAATGTATAGCTGATCATTATAAAGATAAACAAATGTACACATCAGAAGTTTTAGCTGATCGAGTTAAAATTGATAAGAAATTAATGGGTGTGTATATTATATAATATATTATAATATTATGTGTAAAGGCACAGGCCCGGCTCAAGGGGTAGGCGACATAGGCCCACGCCTAGGGCGGCACATAAGCAGCACTTTAGTAAGAGGGCGGTATTTTCAAAATACTGATAATATTATATTATTAGGGGCGGCAAAATTTGATTTCGCCTAGTTCACTATTTTCGCTTAAGCCGGTCCTGTAAAGGCAATGTAGAGTGATAGGATATAGTAAACAATGAATGCCCTTAAAATTAAGTAAATCATTCATTCATGTTCGCTAATTATTTAATTTTGTTAAATCCCTATTGTTTAATCGGCAGTATATTATTAAAATGTCTAACGAGGTTTTAAAATCATGTTATTGTTAATCAAAGATTTAAAAATTCTATAGTTTCATTAATTTTACATAAATTTAGAACCATTAATGATGAACTAGTTTAAAATATTATCTAAAATAACGAGTCTTAGTAAACATATCCAGTGCTTGAATTGGGAAAAATTATGTAAGAAAGCTCAATCCAAAGATTTAAAAACTGCATTCAAATTTCCAATTACTCAACACAGACCCGTGGAGGGCCTTGCCCTCCCTCGATTCTGCCTTACATACATTTTGAATACCACTTTCCGGCAACACATTTTGAATTCCAAATAGGCATAATATATTTTGATAGCAATATCTACATCTTACATTGTTACAGTAGAAAAAAAGAATAATTAGAATCTACCTACCTGTTTATTCAATATACTAAATAGATAACAAAATTAATAATTATTGTTTCTGATTCAAAAGGACCACATATTATGATAAGTATAAAAAAATTTAAAAATTCTAAAACACCGATAAATGATGACCATAACTGAAACTAATAACATTTCATTTGGAACATAATTTAAAATAGTACTAGCCCTCACCAATATCTGTGCCTTAGATAATATACTTGTATATGATCTATTACAAGAACAAACTAAAAGAGACCTTGCGTCTGACAGAGAGTTCAAATAACGTAGATAATCTTTGGAACGAGATCGAAAACTCTATTAAAATGGCGGCCACAGAAGCCCTGGGATTTGAAGAAAGAAAAACAGGGAAAAAATGGTTTGATGAACAATGTATAAAAGCGAGTAATGAAAGAGATATTGCCTGAATAAAAATGCTAAAAGACCCAAGTGAGGAAAATAAAAGAGTACTCTCAGCTAGACAAAGGGAAACTAAACAATTGTTTAGAAAATAGAAAAGAGCATGGGAAAATTCTAGACTTGAAATAATAGAAAACAGCTATAAAAACAATGTAAGACTTTTTTTTTGAAAAAGCAAATGAAATTAAGAATGGATTTAAGGCAAAAGCAACAATTATAAAGGATGAAGAAGGATTACTAATAACTGATAAAACAAAAGCTGCAAACGAGTTCAAGAACATGTTTAAAACAATGCTGAATCAACCTACTCAAGTAGACGTGGAAGAAAACCTCAGCACGGTCGAACAGAAATTAGACGAACCCACGATAGAAGAAGTAGAAAAGGACTGATATGTTGAAAAATGGGAAGGCACCAGGGGAAGACTCAATTGTTGTAGAACTGCTGAAAGGAGGAGGAAAAGAACTAATGACACAACTGAAACGACTAGTAGATAACATATGGAAACAAGAAGAAATACCAACAACATGGCATATGTCAGTTCTATGCCCGGTTCACAAAAAAGGAGACGCTATGGTTTGCCGGAAATACAGAGGAATATCCCTACTAAACATTTGTTATAAAGTAGTATCAAACATTATACTAAACCGTATCAAACCATACACAAAGGAAATAATAGGGGAATATCAGTCAGGTTTTATGCCAGGAAAATCTACAGTAGATCCAATTCATACAATAAAGCAAATAGTAGAGGAAAGCCACGAGTTCGACATAGATGTGCACCTACTATTTGTTGATTTCAAACAGGCATATGACTCCGTAAATCGATGTAGGTTATGGAAAGCAATGAACCAACTTGGAATCCCTACAAAATTGGTGAGATTGATAAAGGCATGTGTGCAAAAGTCCAAGTGTAAAGTTAAGTTCAACGGAGAACTATCTGAAGATTTCTCAGTTGAAACAGGTCTTAGACAGGGAGATGCGTTGTCCCCTACATTATTTAACATAGCCCTAGAGTCAGTAGTGAGAGAAGTACTTGATGATGTCACGGGTCTAAGAATAGGAGAAGGACATCAAATTACACTAGCTGCATATGCTGATGACATAATAATTATAGAAGAAACCGAAGAAGACTTAAAACGGTTGGCAGAAAAACTGATAAGTAAGGGAAAAGAGATTGGACTACAAGTTAATGAGAAAAAAACGAAATATCTAATAGTGTCACGTAGAGAACAAGTACAAAATTCGTTAGTAGTTGGAGGATTTACCTTCGAAAGGGTATCAAACTTTAAATACCTGGGAGTAGATGTTAACCAACAAGCAAACAGCCATGAAGAAATTAAAAGGAGAATAACTGCAGGAAATAAGAGCTATTTCGCGCTTGTACCTGTGTTTAAATCAAGATTAATCTCCAAAAATACAAAAATAAGACTATATAAAGTACTCATTAGGCCTATAGTCTTGTATGCCTGTGATGTATTCTGTGACGAGAAGAGATTACTACTATTTGAAAGAAAAATACTAGAATCTATGGGCCCAAAAGAAACGAGGACAATTTATATGAACGAAGAACTAATGCAGAACTGAGGGCAATATTCAATGAACCAAACATAGTGGGAATTCTTAAAAGCAGACGAATAAGCTTGTCTGGAGAGCAGAGGGCCTAACAGTGCATGATGTCACAGTATGGAAACCAAATAAAAAACGATTGATAGGGAGACCAAGACAGCGATGGACTGACCGAGTCAAAGAAGACCTCAAGCTTCTGGGTATTAGAGAGGAGAACAACTGGCGAAGAACAGAGAGTTGTGGAGAGGCGTAGTAGAAGCGGCGATGAACCTTCAAGGCCCGGAATAAGCCAAAAAAAAAAAAAAAAAAAATGATCTATTATCTGTGAACTGCTGACTATATAGGCAAAACACAGAGTGATATTATAATTAATTAATAAACTAATATCAAAAATAATTTTGATATGAAAAATAGTAAAACTTGTTGTATAATTGACATCAATTGAAAACCAAATTATAATAAAAATTATTTCGGATTTTAGTTTGCACTGTCCCCCTGTCCAAGTAAAAAGAAATGAAAATAGTTGGGGAGCTCCGCTCCCCTGCGCACCCCCCCAATTCAAGCACTGAACATAATATCTGAAACATTCTAACGCAGATGAAATATTTCAGGACCTCTTTCATAGTACAGATTTTAACATTAGTATTATATTATTATATTGGCGTTAATTATAATATTGTAGTTGTATAATTAAAATAATAATTATTTAAACAATAATTAAAATGAGTGGAATTACTACTACAGACCATAGTTGTTGGTATCATTAACAACAAATTTACTATAGAATTTTATATAACTTAATTTAGAACATGTACCCCAATATCTACTACTAGAATTAAAACCTAAATTAAATAAATATTTTTAAATCAGATTTATTTTATTTTTTAGAATTAATTTTTAATAATAAATAATATAAAATTTTCCAATATAATATGAATATCTGTGGTTTACCAGTTACCTTGCAAATATTGTTCCAAATGTTATTTTAGTTTGTTTATTTCTTAAGAGTGGTTTAAATTTTTCTTTATAAATCTGGATTAAATGAGCTTGATATATATAAAATATATTATAATGTTTACTACTTTTAAATAACAATTTTTATTATTATTTTTCATAGAGATCTGCTAAAATTAATTGCTCAACAATTACAAATAAAATTTAGATACTTTTTTAATTACATTTTTTTTTTTATATATATATTTATTTAAGCATATTTACAATCTATACATTTGTACAATAAGTAAATTTGATAACATAGGTAATAGTAAAATGACTTGAATGTCTTGAGATGGGAAAACAGTCCATCAACAGTACCTCCTATTTAATTTGATGGGTTCATATAATATGGAGACTGTTAGGCAAGAGTGTCTCTTGGCCATTTTTTTTTAACCTCCTCGGAGGGTTGTTGAGGATGGTTATAGAGGACATGCGGGAAATTAGAGGGTTTTGGTTCGAGTGTAGTTTGGAGTGAAACTTTTTGTAATGACGAGTTGCTATTTCGCTGACTGTTGGGATTTGGAGATCTTTATGTAATGCGTCGTTGGTCATATACCATGGGGCTCCAGTTATTTGTCTAAGGCATATAGACTGGAAAGCTTGTATGGGTCTTATATTGGATGGTTTGGCTTCTCCCCAGATTTGGATACCATATGACCAGAGGGGTTAATTAAATGTATGAAATACTTTCAATAGGTATAACTATCGCTATTTAAAAATGTATAATATTATATTTTATAATAAACATTATTTTTTATTTAACGCATAATGTATAACATATTATGTTTGTATTCATTTTAATTATAACAGTTTTTAACTGATGTAATTTATGTAGAAGGTCCAATCAAACCTTCCCTAATTTTAATATAAGACTTTCCAGAATTTTATTTAGTTTAGTTGATAGGCGGAAAAAAGCCCCCAAAAAAATAAATACACAGAAAAAAAAAAAAGTATAAATATAAATGTGAACACATGTATACTGTACTCCTAATTAGTAATTACCTTGTACCAATAGGCTATAACAAAATATGATAATATATTATATATTATAATGAAAATAATATTAATTGTTAATTGTAAAAAAATAGATTGTAAATCTAAAAAAAAAACATAAATATGAACACAATATGACATATTGTGTTATAAGTTATAAGTAAAAAAACATAAGTCTTAGGTATTTATGGGGTGTCACCAATGGATGACTTCCCCCCTCCTGCTAATCATCCCCATCTCATTTACTTATTTTAATATATATTTCAATTACAGATTGTAAATAAAATTTTGTTCAATAAAAAAAAAATAGTCTTAGGTATATACATACATACATACTATAACAGATAATAATCATAAATAATAATAACTAGTCAAATATAATTGTTAACTATTGATAAGCCTTTTGACATTTAATTTAATTCATATTGTTCGGTACTTACCAATATAATTTATATACATTATAATATTATATAAACAGTTTATAACCAGTCAAAATGTTAAAATTTATCAATAGCTGGGTAATATTGACACGCCATATAGTACTCCATTACTTGGTTGTTGGGATACTATGTACACGTCCAACTAGTACAGTTTTATCCAGTTATAAATTTGTTTTATATTTTATACTTTTGTTTTACCAATTTTTTTGACTATGGAGATTATAAAATCAAATAAAGGTGGTGACAAATTATGTTACAAAGGTTATGTATATCAGTATCCAAAATATGTGGGCTTTTTTCCTTGGTATGTTTATTTTTTGGTGCTTTTTTTCCGTTAGGTTTTTTTTCTGGTATTTTTTTTGTGAGCTTTTTTTCCGCGATTCAGTTATGTTACGTTAAGTTGTATAATATATGACCCACCTATTTTTCTTACACAATTCTGTTTATAATAATCAAATAATGATATCGATCACATGAGGTCAATATAAAATATTTTGTATTTAAAGATCTATTTAACTATACACCAGCTATTAGATCTAGCATATATTTATAATATAATCATTCAATAAACCTTGGGACTGGGCTGTGTCAGATTATTAAGCAACTAAGTATTTGGTCAATAATAAATATTAAATATGAAAATTGAAGTGATTGATTGTAACAATTATTTTTAAATTAATATTTAAGGCCTATACAAACCAGGCATTTATCTTGATTTATTCAACTTGGTGTAAGATAAATCATTGTATTAAAAAAAAAAATAGTATTCTCAGCTTTACAAAAACCATACTTCCTGATATTCAAAATATTTCTAAGTTAACCTGTAGATTTTCCTAATTAATATGAATCTATTGAGAAAATCTAAAAATGTCTACATTATTGTACCATGCAGACTCCATTTTTAAATCTCTAAACGTTGCTACAAATAACTTTTATTACCTTATATTCTCTTTAATTGAAAAAAATATTGTAAACCTCACTATCTAAACTATATACAGTAAACTCGCGATTATCAGCAGAATAACTCTGCGTTAGTAACTCATGGTAAGCGAATTCTGCGGTTAATCCGTAAAATACAAATTGAAACAAAAATACTCTTATTATATTATGTAATATTAAATAGTATTTAAAGAAAATTAGATAAGTAGCTACATATTGTTGTATTTTTATTCATACATTCATATATTGTATATAACATTTACATTTATTTTTCACAAAAACATCTATTAACATATTGTACATGAATACTATTTTTAATAGATACTGTATTTAATTCTGCAGAAATCCACAGATAATCGAGAGTCTACTGTATATATTGGATAAAGAGTGAACATTTTAAGTTTTAAGTAATATATCATAATCAAAAGTTAATAATGTTCATACAGTAATTCCATAGTAAACGACCATATAAAAATCTTTGTTTGTGATTTGTAATCAGTATTTATTTTTTTTTATAAAGCATACAAATACATAAATTGCTTAATATCTTAAGGTATATTTTATACAGTGGATTCCGCCTAATGTGGACACTGGTTTTAAAATGTGCGTCCGCGTAATATGGGCTAAATTGTCTGGTCCCAATTCCAATGGATACTAACTAACTAATTTCGGTTTATATGGCCACCCTCTTAATCTGGGCAAATGAGTTTTGTCCCAACGTGTCCACATTAAGCGGAATCCACTGTATTGCGCACTGTACTACTGTATGACTGTATTCATGGGTTTTTCTTTTTTTTACAGATAATATACTAAAATACTACAGGGTATTTGATATGTATGTACCAGAAAAGATGGTAGAAAAGAAGAAGTCTCCTAAATTGTTCTTAAGTAATGCCATTGACAAGATTAGACATAGCTTAGAAATAGATAAATATAAGGAAGAACGAAAACAGATCGGTAAAGATTAAAATGCACCTAAGAATAAAGTTAGTAAAGTGCTAATTATTGCATAACATAATTTCTTTATTGTAAAAATTGTTAAAACGTGTTACAGTTTGATGATAAAAGTTTTATTGTTTTATCCTGTTTATTATGTTATGTAATGATTTTATTTTTAATAAAATAAATAGTTCTATGCATTATAGAAGAGAGTTATTCTGTATGACATAATATTTATATTAATTGTGGTATTTACTAGTCTATGTAATGACTAATTACAATTCTATGATCATTATCGTAATTATGTGTTATTAAATTTAAAGTTTAGATGACCGAAGAAGTGGATCAACATTTTGTTGGATACCACTGTGTCACTTCAATCCACTCTTCTAAACTATAATTACTTAATTTAAAACTATTTAACAATTAACTAAATAATTAAATTTTTATTGACTGACATTTTCAGAAAAATATTCCTATTTAAATTAGAAAATTTTAAATGTATTACCTATGTATATTATAATTTATTAAAATATAAAACTTAGCATTTGATATCATAGATTATATTATTATAATATGCATGGGACTTCATTATAAGCTAGCTGTCATGGAGAACTTCCAATGAACCAATAATTCACTAGATTCATACTGCACCATTTTTCCCATGCTCCCTCCACGAGTATGCTTAATAGATGCATTTGTTAAGTTCTTAGATTTTTGGAAGTTGTAATTATACTAAAAGACCATAGTGTTTTCAAATATTTAAATAATTTATGGACTGTTATAGTCTGTGGCCAGTGATGGAACAAATTTGTTTTTTAAATGTGAAATTTAACATTTTTCTGAAAACAAGAAAATGATTGTTTTTTTAATGTTGGTGTATTGAAATAAAAATTTGAACAAGTAATTTATGAGTTACAATTTTAAGAAAACGCGACTGTTCTAATACTTCAAAAACAAATTTTTATTGCCCAATTAATTGTAGACATTTTTAGTTATTTAAATGAAGAATAACAATTAAGGTTAATAGTTAGGTACCTACATATTTTTTTATGATTTAAAATCATTATAGCTGATCCCATGCACTTTGTTACCCGTTAAATATAGCAACTCTATATAACTCAAACTTTGTTCAATTCGTTATTTAATATTCAGTGTATGGTGTTCAAAATTTATCTTAACTTTTCCGTTGCCCGGAATAAAAATTCTGATTCGCATCAGTACCTATATTATCTGGTAGGCAATCTACCTGCTGTAGATCGCGGACCCCGTGATGTTTGTACGTAACTTTATAATTTAACTCTGAAGTATCAAAGTTATACCAAGTATGTTACTGAACTCCTCCTAAACGGTTGGACTAATCGGGCTATAGTCGATAGCATAGAATATAATATAATAATTACAGTATATAATTTCCGAACCCGAGCTAAAATAAAAACTAGGTACATAGTACATGTAATGAGATGGCTACTTGAAAATAATTGTTTTTGTCATGTTGTTCTATAGGTTTTATTTGATATTTTATTGTTAATAATCGCCAATACTCAATAGCGTATTGTATGATTAATTCATGTGGTTTGTGGAAATTATGACTTGAATACTATACATATAGTATAATATACTATAATAATATAGTATAATGTAATTTCCTGTTTTTTTTTTTGCAACCGGTGTAAACATCTTACGAGGAACCTTATTTTAATTTTTCATGTATTTTGACTAATGAAAAAAAAAGTTATCAAAGTTATCAATGTAGTTATTGGTGTATCGTCAGAAACTGAAAACTTAACATGAGAGCTGTTTTAAATTTTCCAATTTTTATAGAAATAAGGACTGTTCAACGGAGACATACGCTTAGTGGCCTATGTGCAACGCCGCTCAATCGAAATTTTGTCTTTGAAGTGTATAAAAAATAAATTAAATTCGTAGTAAATATTAAGACCCATTTGTGTAGATATTTATTATAAATTCATGCGTTAGCATATATAATCAATCAACTCAGCGTTTAACACCAATTTTCGTTTTTAAATTTTTGTTTTACGCGTTCTAAAAGCTATATTTTTAAATTTCATCACTATTGGAGTTGAAGACTTTTTTAGTGAATTTAATGCAAAATGTTTCGACAAAAACATACCAACATTTTATTCCAGTAAAACGAGAAGAGCGAATAGTGTGGTAAATACAAATCTGCTAAGAAAATATTTTATATTCGTTTTGAAGTTATTAAGTACTTGTATGGATCATTCCACTTTTAAAATTTTGGCTCTCAACCTTAAATTTGATTTGAAATAGTATAATAAATTAAACAGTGATTATTTGAAATAACAATAAACCGACTGCAGGATGATCGATCATAACAGTTTATAATAATATTTTTACTTAGTGTATAATATTATTGGGCCCCCACACGAACATGTTCACTGTTCAGTGGGGGCAGGGGGGCCCATTCTTGAAGAATAAATAAAAACAAAAATTATTGATATTTTACTATATTATTATACTATACTAAAATTTATAGTTCATGAGTATTACATACTCATTACTCAGTATAAAATAAAATGTTTGCCTGGAGAACAGGGAGGATCACTGATTGTCTTCGCCCCCCTCCGTCCACACCATCGTTGTGTTATTTTCATATAGAAGTTAGTTGAAATAACACGATCGATTATACCTATGTGGATTATGTTTACCATAAACACGGTTCGAAAATAGATTTACCATAATATAAACCTTATATATTTCTTTAGGTGCACCGCATATTATATAATGTTGTCAAATTATTATAATGTCAACGGAAACGTGAAATGGTTATCGACCTGATAGACCTTGATATTATTATAAATTCCATTTACACATGGCCAGCATCAGGCCACCAGCTGTAATCGCATATCAATCTATTCTAGTATGTTCCTATATTACGTAGCTATATGTATAATAATTGAGTGTAACGATTGTTATATTTAGTAATAGTATGGATAGTGTTTATAACTACTGATCATCAAGGTATCTAATAATATAATACGACCGTAGGTTACCGGTTACCGCACTTATCAGTGTACCTATCCGCATTTGTGAACCATAAAATATCTGTCATCGACAACTATATAGTATATAATAATACAATAGATATAATAGTGATATTATATTGTAATATATATATATAGCTATTTGCTGGTAATTCTGCAATCATTTTAATTCTCTACGTCTGATTATAGACTCGATTACGAATTAAAGTAGCGTTCCTCAATTATTCGAGACTTCAAATTCTTAGACCATTACTCCGCTCAAAGCTCTCATTAAAAACCAAAAGAACAATCTATATGGCTCTTCTAAGACCCATGTGGTACTATGGGATTCAACTTTGGGGTTCTACCAAACCGTCAAATACCAGAACAATTCAGGCATTCCAGTCTATATGTCTTCGATTATTATCAGGTGCCCCCTGGTATATAACCAATGAATCACTTCATAAAGACATAATTTGCATTCCAACCTTAAATAATCTTGCTATGATCACCTACAAAAAAAACACACAAAACATACAGCACTCACTCAAATCCTATAATCACACAACTATCATCCAAACAAATCCCAGGTAATCCACCCAGGCGCCTGAAAAGGAACTGGTTTAGGGACCTACTCTCTCCTTAAATCGATTTTCACGGGGTGCCACCAATGGATGTCTCCCCCTCCGTTAATCGTCCCATCACATTTACTTATTGTAATATATATAATTATAGATTGTAAATAATATTTTTGTTCAATAAAAAAAAAAAAAAGTAACGTTTGATAGCAAAACAAACTTTTGAGTAGGTACCTCTACCTATAGAGTAGGAAATTGAACTATTATTAATTACAAAAATTAACCTTTACTTTAAAAACTATGCAGTTCGCACCAGGTGTAGTCTCAGCGATCGTACGCAAATATTGTATTGAGTTGTATACTCATTGTACCTATATTATTATTTAGATTACTCAATTTAGGTGTCTCGAGTCACAACAACCACGCTCTCGGTGCCCGATGGCCGATGATTCAGCTGCTGTAGTAAACGTTTTCTTTGATGACACAGTTTAACGGACAGTACAATGATAATATTATATTATTTTTAAATATTATGATGTTGTTAAAATACAGAAAAAAGACAGTGGCCCCCATCCTGCAGTGTATAACATTTAAGGTATTCAGTCGGGTCTTGCAAAAGGTTGCATAAATATGCGTCGTCACATTCCGCAAAAAGAGAATATACACCTATACCTATAGGTACATAAATTCATGCGATGATAAATATTTTTGGTATATAATTCCTATATCATAGTATATCGACCAAAAGTCAAAGACACAAGCATCAAAAGGCAGTCATATTTAATTCCGAGTCTGTAGTACAGACCACAGACGCACCTGCAGTGTAGATAATATCTATATTATAATGAAATATGATGGAATTAATTTCACGTGTCGGTTGCTGTGTTCGTACCGAAACGTCATTTTAAAGTATAATTTCGGTATAGCTAGGTAAATAGGTTAATGGTATAATTTCGAACTTGCAGAGCAGACGATATTCATATCATGCACCATCCTGCACGTAAAAGAAATCTCGTGGGAATACCATCAAACTATAATATATAGAGCTTTGATACCATGTTACCATCGCATTCTCGAAGTACCTAAAGTACGCATATACCTTACCTAATATAATATGCATGCATGGGCGCAACTGGAATTTCATAGAAGTAACATAAGTAATTATAAGTTACTTCGTTATTTATTCATTAATGATATAAATATCTACATAAAATAATGTAATTTATTAACACGCTTTTCTCGTTGCATCATCGATCGTGAAGCGTTGACCGAGTTCTATCAACAGGTTGTCCCCAGCATTTAAGTCGAGATTAAATTAAGATTTCAAAATCATTGCATAATATATATCATATAGATACATTTTTTTATTTATGTACTAGCTGATCCCGTGCACTTCGTGCACAATTCGTTATTTAATATTCGGTGTGTGGTGTTCAAAATTTATCT